ACTGAGACCGTGAGTTAGGAAGGAGCCAGGGTCAGGGAATTACTATAAAAACAGAGTCAAATCTGAAAGACACCTCAGCAGAAGATTAGATTAGGGTTACAGCAAAGATTAGGGGTGAGTCTCAGAAAAACGGATTTAGGAGACAGGGTGAGAGAGTTTAAAAGAACCCTGAGAATCAGGGTAGAGGGGAGATTTATAGTCTAGCCAAGATATACCAGGTAAGAGAGCAGGTCTACCTTTGGTTTGTTGCCTGGCTTGCAGCTTAATGGACACCATATATAATCTCTGATAATGTGAAATGATGGTGTAGTTCCTCACCCTATTTTCTCTCCAAAGGACAGCCTTGAATTTAAGTCACTTTGATTCACATCTAATATGCAGCCTACAGAAGAGAAATTTCTGTCCTTCTGCTAATAGCAGCTGCAATGGGAACTTCTTTCAATATCCATTTGCCTGGGTTGAGTTTGCCCAGGTCAGGAGCTAAGGGATGCGATTTGCGATTTTGCCATGATGAAGTGAGTCTGACATTTTTTTGCTGAGAAGTCAGGCAGCTCCGGGCTAAAATTTTGGCTGTGTCACTTTACCCGAAAGACTGGCTTTGGGCAAATTTCCTAATCTGTCTTAAAATAAGAGTAATCATGACCTTTGTGATTGAAGTGATGATGTGTCTTAGTGAGCAATACCAAATTACCATGGACTGAGTGCTTAAAGAACAGAAATTTATTTCTTACAGTTCTGGAAGACTGAAAGTCCCAAGATCAGGGTGCCAGGATGGTTGGGTTCTGGGACTTCTGGGACCTCGGCGGTCTGCAGACTGTACTTCTTCTTGCATCCTCAGGTGGTGAAAAGATGGTGAGAGAGCTCTCTGAGGTTCTTATTACAAGGGCACTAATCCTATTCATAAGGGCTCCATGCTCATGGCCTAATTATGTCCCAAGGGCTTCAACTCCTAATACCATTACATTGGGGGTTAGGATTTTAATTGCAGCTAGGATTTCAGTGACACACAAACATACCGTCTATGGCATGATGGGTGTAATATGCTCACACAGTGCTTTGGCAGGGAATGCATGTTTTACACATGTTAGATTTTACGAATTCTAGCCCAGTCACAATAGTTTTACACAGAACGGTGGATATTTGTTCATTAATAAGTAAATGAATTTCCTCAGTACCCCTAGTGAAAGCTGGACCTTAAGTGAAGATGTCTTCCAGAATATCAGGAAAGTTATCCAGGCCGAAGGACCAGGCAATCTGTGTGAACTGATCTTTTGTCTAATTTGCATGTTAACGATAGTGCCCAATGATAGTGACAGGATTCCAAATAACAGAAGTAGGCTCAAATGGAATTTTCTTTAATTCTCACAAAAAAAAAAAAAATAAATGATCATCACGTCTGTATTGGTGTCCTTTATAAAAAAGAAGAGGGTAAGCACACTGAAGTTAAATTCTTACCCAAAGGCTTCACAGCTAGAAAGTGGCTCTATTTGCATTTAAATCCAAAGCTGTCTAAATTTAGCACCTCCTTTCTACTCCTTGGTGAGGGACTGTGGGAAAGATTTGAGCTTGTGTTTTAGGGGTGCCCATTGGAAAGCAGAGCACCTTTTGTGCCAGAGACAATCAATGCTGGGTTTCAGAGGAAGCAAACAGTTCAGGCCAGTAAGAGATGGACATGACTTATAGGGACAGACAGGGGCCAGTGTCGGTGTAGAATGGCCTCCAGTAGCTGGGAGACAGCTCTTGAATGTTCAGGATATCTTTTCACCTCCTATGAAAGGAAAATCATTAGCCATGGAGTACAGAGGAAGGCTGCTACCTGGAGACCCGTGCCTGCCTCACAGTCACCATGAAGTCCTAGACTTTGCCTGGTTTGCCGTGAGCCAGGCCTGGTGTGTAGTATGTGCCCAATAAACTTTTGTTGCATGCATGAATGGATGATATTGACACTGAGACCTTAATTCTGACTCTAGGAAGTGTTGTCTCAGGAGCATGCTTGCCCCAAGGGGTAGGCACTCTGCTTCGGGTTGCTGAGGAGGACAAAACAGAAAGTAGTGTCTATTCTCTGGCTTCAAAAAGAAACAGGTAAGATGTTTACTGCCTCCTGTTAGGCTTAGGTTTGTAAAACAGGCTTTTATAAGGTTATTTATTTTCTGTTGGATCCTTGTCCTCTACAGTGGGGAAACCCAAACCAAAAAGCAACCCCTTAATGCAGTACACAAATTGAAGCCTTTAAATGGAAGCAGAGTGCTCTTTGCCAGAGTTGGAAATAATGTCATCAAATTGGAGAAAAGAAGACACAAAAGAGCTGAACCTATTGAAATGTATTTCTTCACAGAGGATTTCTGCACTTTTACAAACTATAGTTTAGACACCCAGATAGGTCGAATTGCACAAAGAGTCAAACTCCATGTGAATTTGCAAGTCTCTCTGTTTCTCTGGGCTACTAGACATAGGCCACCATCTCTTCACAGTATTTGTTTTTCATATCTTGAATGGCCAACATTTCTTATTGATTCACTAGCCTGGTGGGTTTGAGGTGGGGTGGGGACAGAAATGGGAGATGGAGGAGTGGTGGAAAAGGTTGCTTTTGAATGACAAGGCTTATAGGGCAATTTCATGTTTCCTTTTATTTGTTTGGTACCAAGGATTGAACCAGGGGTGCTTAGCCACTGAGTCACATCTCAAGCCCCATCCCCCACTTTTTAATGTTTTATTTTGAGACAGGGCCTCCCTAAGTGGCTGAGGCTGGCTTTGAACTTTCCAACCTCCTGCATCACGGGATTACAGGGGTGCCTTACCATGTCTGCCACCTTTTAGCCTTTTACACTCAACTTTGGATCTTGTCTTTAATCTTGTATCGAATGACTTTCTGAGTAACATCTTAATACTTTAAAATAAGTGTATATTTTACATAGAGTTTAAAAACTCTTTGGTTGTGTTGTTCAGTAACAAAAAAAAAAACAAAACGGTATTTTTATTTTTTTAACGCCTAACGCAGAGTCAATAGAGCAGACAATGTAAAACTTTTTAAAAAGTTGTCCCAGGACATCATGAGGCGGGGTGGCTTGTCACTGGTGTGTATTTAACTAGAATATTAATGAAGGGAAAAGCCTCAGTATTATTGTGGTTACAGCAGTTCTTTAAAACTTCACAGCTCAAAACAACATGTTTTAGATTACTGTTTACCTCCTCGAAGGAAACGGCTGTTTTGAGGCGACATCGTGAGACTAGCCTCATTATGCGCCACCATGACGGCAGGCACTCATATCTCATAGAAATCTGAAATGCTTTAAACACATCCACATATTTTCACGGTGAGGGTTTCTTTGTGCAGGGCTGCCAAGTGCCGCTGCTCCAGCCCCAGCATGAGATTAATTATTTACCAGAGGTCTCTGTTAATTACTAAAACAAATAATCTACCACCCTTTGCAGGATAGGTGTGACTACGTAAGGGGGAGGGGGGATATTTAAAACCTTATTTTGGCTTCTACCATTTTAGGTGTTTCTTTCTTGTTCCGTAAGAGTTAGAAGTACTTAAACTTCATTGCTTTCTACTAAAAAAGCATTTTTCTTTTGCAGGACTAGATAGGGTAGATAACCCAGAGGAGTGGGTGGTGTCAGGAGGATTCACCTGGGAGCTGGGAGGATACTTCCTAGGAATGCCTGGGTCATCTGCGTGAGGATATGTATTTGTTTTCCCTGTCTGCAGATATGCAGAAATGCGGGACAAATCAGAAGTTCTAGGGAGCTGATGTCTCAGGAGCAGCTGCAACCAGAAAAATGGGGAATTGGTAGGTAGGGACCAGGGCTTCCTATCTCCCGAGGAGCTGGATAATTCTGAGGGAGGGTCCTTACTGTCTCCTGCTTCTCCAGAGGGCTGGGGCTCAGGGTACTCACCAACTACCCAAAGCACTTTTGGTGTTTCTTTCCCTTCCCTCCCCCAGTTCCCAATTCCTGATCTGTGTTTCTATAGGGTTCACTTCCCAGTTACTTTACTTGCCCTTGAATCTCAGGATGTACTTCTAAATGAATCCAGAAACCCTCAGGAAAGATTTTTGAGCTAAGCAGAGTGTGCCTGAGTTATACAGAACCCGCCCCAGCCTCTTGCGAAGAAACTTGTGCCTCTCTGTTGTTGTTTTTCTTAAAATAGACCTTATTTTTCAGAGCAGTTTTAGTTGCATAGCAAAGTTGAGCTACGAGTACAAAAAAATTGCCGCATACTCTCTACCTCCACACAAGTACAGTCTCCTCCTACTGCCAACATCTGGCATCAGAGTGGCACATTGAGAACCTGCACAATGCATCGTTATCTCTTTAGCATCATAGTTGATACCAGGGATTCACTCTTGGTGTTGTACATTATAGATTTTGAAAGATGTCAAATGACATGTATCTATCATCCTCTTTGCATTTTCTTGAAGGATCCATTCCATTTTTTTAAGCCTGAATTAATATTTAAATTTCACCCTTTAGCTTTCCATCCTGAGCTGCTGCCAAGGCAGGGTGCCTGGTGATAATCTGTCACCTGCTGGCATCATGGCTCTGACGGGAAAGCCATCCCTGAGCAGGTTGTTAGGGGTGGCGGCACACACCTAAATTTTGTAGGTATTGTCATATGTCTTGGGATTTTTAGTTGAGACAGGCTATGTAAATATTATCTATTATCATTACTAATAATTACCGGCAGCTGTAGTGGCGATAAAGCTAGTGTGCCACAAGTCCCATATGGGAGCCTCCTGGGCCTTTGTGTTCACAGCAATGTGAACTGCAGTGAACTTGACTTGTCAGACTGCATCTCCATGCAGAGAACAAAATCCCCGTTGCTCAGAGATGACGGCCTGTGGTGCTTTCCTGCAACTCAATCCTCATTTGCACTTCCGAGAAGTTTTTCCCCCCCTCCTTTTCTGTTTTAAAAATGTAGAATGGAATAATCAGCCATAGTTCTTGGTGGGAGGTCCCTAGCGTTCTGCCCTAGATTTTCAAGCTGGCTGCCAGGCCAAGCCAGATTGTAGATGGAGAAGGTTTTGTTGTTGTTGTTGTTTTTAGTTAGCAATTTTCTTTCTTTCTTTCTCTCCCCCTCCTCCCTTTTCTTTTCTTCTTTTCTTTTTTATCCCATCTGAATTACAGTGCTCACAGCTGCACAGCTTCAAAAACTGTACCTCCTCCCTGCTGGGCTGCAGGCAGGGAATTACTCTCCTGGGAACACTGACAGTTTAGGATGCCGGAACCTGGGCACCTTGCTGAATATCTCAGAAGCATTGATGTTCCAGTTCTGTGCAGTGTCTGTGAGTATTGGAAGTATTATGGAGTGACAGGTTTCTCTTTTATTCCTTCTTAAAAGTCCCTAGTTGTTTTACTTGAAGCAATTTTTATCTGGCCACGGGTTTGTGGGTTAGTTCACCTTGTGGATGAGCTGCCTCCCTTACTATCAGGGACATTACTATCAGCTCTGTGCCTGGCACCCAGAGAGGGCTCAGGAAGCCTTTTAAATGAATGAATATTCATTCATTCTTTCAATGAACGAATGAGAAACTAAAAGGAATCCTGACTGTCATGTGACCCACCTGCTGTCATTCTTCAGATGAGAAAAACTGAGGTTCAGTGAGGAAAATGGCCTCTTAAAAAATTGCGGAATGAAGTTTCAGGGGGAAACCTCAAAGGAAGTGCTTGAGATCTATAACGTGCTATGGAAATAGAAGATGTGTCATTTTCCTTCTGGTGGTGAGCTGGGCAAGGTGTCAACAGGCTGATATGAGAAGCTAGGCAAGTTCCCCTCTATGGAGGTATCTCAGGTGCTGTGACAATTTTCACTCAGTCTACCAGCCCGCCCAGGCTAGCCTCAGGGGCTCTTTAAGGGTGCATTTTCAGAGCAGGAGAGAGACATCTCCAATCTACTTCAGCCCAATTTCCATTTAAGTCTTCACTGCCCAGCTGCATGATCCACCAGCTGTCTTTCCAATAATGGTACTTTCAAGTCACTGCTGATTTCCCAGGAAGTTAGATTTTGATTGGCGGCTACCTTACCTGAAAAGGGGCTGATATGTTCTACAGAAATATTGGTTTCTATGAAATATGGTTGGAGGAATCAGCCGTCTCTGGGGTAGAAACTACATGCATGGAAGGATATTAAAAAATGTCTTGGAGCTGGATGTGTGTAAAATGGAGAAGTGGCTTCAGCAAGGCCACTTTATTGAAGTGAGGTGGGGTCTTGAGATTCAGATTAAGGACCAGGTGCCAAGGCTTAGAATGCCAATTAGAAAAAGAAAAATGCATTAGCTAGGACTTCAGTCTGGCAGGCTCTAGACAGACACGTAATAACAACACGGCTGCACCCTTAAGCCAGTTACATGTGAGAACGTTAGTTCCATTTTGGGAATCCATCCTTCTTCCTAGGTGGATTTATTTCCTCTTCTGCAGTATTTCCCATTTATAAAATGTTAATATATGTTTTTTTTAAAAAAACCCTCCACCTCTGTGGTCAAATGACTTTTGAAAAGGTAGGGTTCCACAAAGTTAAACAGGTTCAAACTCTTTGTTATGGTAATATTCTTTGGGAATTTCCAAGAGCAGTTCTTCTCTATTGAATATTCCAAATTCTGCGATGATAGAGTCCTTTTTGGCACAGTATTTAGGAGGATTCCAGTTCTGAGAAGCATATCTTTGGAAACAATCTTTTGATGTTCTCCCAGGGTTCAGCCATTTGTGACTTGAACATCTCCTTGGCTCCCTTGGGTAAATTTTTCCTGCTGTGGGACTTGCAATTCTCATGGAAACTTTTCAACCATGTTTGTCTTTTTGCATTATCAGAATAAGCTGTTCCATAATAGCTATCAGTTAGCGTAATAGTTCAGATTCATCCAACTACTAGTTGAAAGTTCAAGAATTGAACATCTAAATAGTTCAAATCATTTACTCATGATCAAATCATGTTCTTTCTTTGAATATACCTTGTACCATGCTAGGAGAACTTTGATTACCTCTGTTTCAGAACTGCTTTTAGCACATAGCACATATTGGCACCTAATGAGCCGTATACATAGAGTGGTTGAAAACAGTAATCTGTGATGATTTTTAAAAGTTTGACCTTCCTTGCTTTTGTATCTGAACAATGGAGAAATGGGAATGCCAAAGAGGAAGAGATCACAGAAAATTCAGGCTCTTCTGAATAATAAACCTACTTTTTTCCGCAGCCAGTTGCTGGGACTTGTAGATCAGGAAAGGTTTCACCTGGATGATGGAAAATGCCAGGTTCTGAGAGGAGCTGTTCCACAGATGCTCAGTGGGAGGTCCTCCTGGTGTACGCTTCTTTCCTGGCAGAAAGAGGAAGTACCAGAAAAAGGGCCTTTTGATGTTGTTATCAGCAGTGGGGAGGCTATGGTGAGTTTGGGTTTGGTTTTAAAAAGGGAGTGATAAACATCTCTCTAAGAAGGTCAGAGAGAAAGCTGCTTGGGGGCAGTTGGGAGGGAGGAAGAGACAGATTTGACATAGCTGTCCCTACCTCCCAAGGAGGCCCCAAGGGGCTTGGAAGAAAATCAAAGCAGGAATTCCCAAAGTGCGTGGTCAGGAAATTCTTGAGAACCAAGTTTTGTTTGGAGAATTGGACTTTAAGACATCATTGACTGCGCAATGAGAGTCAGGTTGCAGGGAATCTGTTATAGACAGGCTTACATTGAATTGGAATGGTCTGTCAATGGCTTCTCCTACAGTCCAGAAAGTCTAAACATCTCAGATGTGTAACGTCCAGTCCAGAAGCATGTGCCTTATTCAGCTTGTTCATTTTTGAAACCTCAGTGCTTCGTGCAGTGCTTTGCATGAACGAGGGAATTAATAAACATTTGTTGAATGAAAAAAATTAGGTTTCCGATGTTGCAACTTCCTGGTTTAGAGTTTAAAGCCACCCTAGGGCCCTTGAGCCTCTTGTTTCTTTTTACCTCTTATGTCTCCTGGTGAAAATCTGATAATTCACCAGAACATCCTTTTATTGTTCAATACAGAAATCTGGCAACCTTAACGTCTTTGCAATTATAAAGATAAAGTTGATGTTGCAGGGCCTGGAGAACAATGGTGAAACCACAATGGCCTCTTCTGTGTGACCGAGAAGCTAGGGAAGGACCCTGCTGGCTGAACTTGCCGCCACTGTTTGATAAACCAGTTACTGGAGACACAGCAGCCAGATGCCCGGGGGAGAAGCTCCTCTGTGATGTGGTTTTGAGAACATTCTGGTTTTTCACTGCATTTCCTCCTCTGAATTCCAATAGCACCTTCTTTGTACTTTCCTGACATCACCTCACTTGGGAAAGAGCAGGGGGTTAGGAACTGGAATTCCTGGTTTAAAGGCAGGTTTCTGCCCCCTTGCCAATGGATGTCCTCAGGAAAGTTATTTGACTGTACCATCTTCAGGGCTGTCCTGATAAATCGGGATGATAAGAAGCCTCTTCCCTCACAGCATTTACCTAAGAACTAAGCAACACAATAAACGAGGACATAGCTGTCAAATCACAAGGCAACTTGCAAATGTAAGTTTATGGAATATCTCGTTTTATACTTAATTTAGACATTCCTGCTCCATTGTTCATACAATGTTTGGAATTTCAGTGAAAGCAGGGCCCTATTGATAATACCTATGTATGCACACATATGTATATGTAAATACATACACCGATATATGTATATATGTATATGTGTGTGCATGTAAATATAGATATAAATATACTTACATATTTATTTACTCGTTGATATCACTCATTGTATCTAGCTGGAGATTTACATAAAACAATTGCATATTAGATTGGTACTCTGATAGAACTAGCATATTAACAAGACGGAATCTGGGAACCATGCTTTTTCTTTTCTTTTTTTTTTTTAATGCCAGTTTGAAAAAATGTTTGGCATTCGGAATTTGAGGAGGTTGGAAACAGGTAGGGGTGGAGAGAGAGTAGCAGGTAAGTGACATCAGAGGTTTAGTAAGTCTTGGTCATTCCTTCTTTTGAAGACAAGTAGGGAAGGGCTGACTGGTAGGACTACTGGAAGAGCTCTTGAGAAGCTGGTGACTTCTTTTGCAGATCACCAAGTTTGTACTGTCACAAATGGCAAACATACCGCTGTTTGAAAAATCCTGGGTTTTATAAGCCATCCGTGCCAGATGAGAGGAACACCTGAGGATTTGGAAGAATCAAAATGCTTATTCCCCGTGGATGTTTGAAGGGGAATCCTAGGTTCACTTGCCGAGCGAGGGCAGAAGCTTGCACTCTGTCCAGCAACAATCAGGGCGATGGTGGGTGAGCTGAGAAATTTATGCTGCTGAGCTCCAGCCACATTTTAGGATCAGATATGCATTTGGAAAAGCCGATGATTTTAGAAAAGCTCCACAGTTGTCTTTCCAGTTTTAATGAAGGTCAACGGGATCCATTAAAGAGTCAGGGCTTAAGTGTCCCTCCTATCTCACAAGGCAACTCAGAGATGGTTTAATAGTCAATGACAGTGACTCCCTGAAGCTCCTACCTGGGCGTTACCAGGCCTCATTAAAGACTGTCCAGGCCCCGTCTGCCTGACAAGCTCCTTTTCTTTTTCTGGAAGGAGACTTGTTTCTGTATCTGCTGCATTATCCTTTGTGCCAGAGGTTGGCATCTCTGCCCGGGAGTTCTCTCCTGTGGGTTTGGGTGTGGCTGGAAGACAAAGAGGAACATTCCTCCTGGCTGCCACCCAGCTGCCTCTCTACTTCCAGTGGCAGCAGAACACCTGTGGGAAAGTCATGGAAGACCAGAGGGGACTGGAAGGAGGGGAGTCTGTCTCAACACCTCCCCGCCCAGGCTTACAGGCTGCTCTGCACTCTCTGTGTTCAATTATCTCACAAGATAATCACACTCATTCTTTGATTTCAAAGGCTCAACCTCCCCTGATATGAGTTCATGCGTGTTATGATTACTTGTTGGGTTGTTTCTGCTTCCTTTCATATGTTGATCTGAGCTGAGGTCTTCCACCTTCAATGGTAAGCCCACAGCCACAGCGCTCACCTTTGACTGCATCCTGCCTATCATAATGCACGAGGCACGCTGAGGGCCTGCGGAAGCTTATTCCTCCCTGAGATCTCGCAATGGCGTTGCTGCTCCGGTACTGCCTGTGTTTGTTGCTCAAAAAAGATTTGGGGGTAGGACATTGAATCATGCCAGACTTATATGTGTGCCAGGAAAGTACAAAATAGAGGTCATGAATCATGAGTGTATTCATTAAAGACCCAGATGGAAATTCTGACGGGTCACGTGGGTGCAGGTCTACTGACTGGAGC